ACTAGTTTTATAAGTAGTTGCCCTTACTATATATTTGCTTTTACCACCAATACTTTTTCTTTGATAATTTATCATTTCTATTTGTGGTCTTTTCTTTTCCACTTAAAAAAGTCTGTTTAACATTTCTTGTAAGGCAAGCTTAGTGGTGATGAGCTCCTTTATTTTTTGCTTGTCTGGAAAAATCTATGTCTCCTTTCATTCTGAATGATAACCTTGCTGAGTAGAGTATTCTTGGTTGTAGGTTTTCTTCCTTTCAGTGCTTTGAATATATTGTACCACTCCCTTCTAGCCTGTATAGTTTCTGCTGAAAAGTCAGCTCATAGTCTTATGGGAGTTCCCTTGTACATAACTTCTTGTATTTCTCTTAGAGCTTTTAAGATTCTCTCTCATCTTTAAGTCTTGATGTTTTCATTATAATGTGTCCTGGTGTGGGCCTCTTTGGGTTTATCTTGTTTGGTACTCTCCGTTCTTCCTGTATCTGGATGTCTGTTTCCTTCCCCAGGTTAGAGGAGTTTTCAGCTGTTATTTCTTCAAATAAGTTCTCTCTCTTCCCTTTGTCTCTGTCTTCTCTCCCTGGGAAACTATAATGCAAATGTTAGATAGCTTGATGTTGTCCCTGTCCTTAACCTGTCCTTGCTTTTTTTAAAATTCTTTTTCTTTTTTCTGTTCAGCTTGGGTGATTTCCTCTTCTCTGTCATCCAGATTGCTGATCCGTTCTGTGTCATCTATTCTACTGTTGATTCCCTCTAGTGAATTTTTCATTACAATTATTGTATTCTTCACCTCTGATTGGTTCTTTTTTATATTTTCTAACTCTTTGTTGAAGTTTTCACTGCGTTCATCTATTCCTCTCCTGAGTTCAGTGAGCTCTCTGTGTGACCGTTACTTTGTATTCTTTATCAGGTAAATTATCTTTGTTTCATTTAGTTCTTTTTCTGAAGATTTTCCCTGTTGTTTTATTTGAAACATATTCCTCTGTCTCCTCATTTTGCCTACTTCTCTGTGCTTATTTACATGTATTAGGTGGATCAGCTGTGTCTCCTGATCTTGGAAATGTAACCTTATGTAGGACATGTCTTATGGGGCCCAGCAGCGTGCTCCCCTCTCTTCATCCATGCCGAGTGCTCCAGGAGTGTCCCCTGTGTGGCTGTGTGTGTCCTTCTGTTGTGGTGGGCATGCAGGTAGGTGAGGCTGGGCTCCAAGCCAGCTGGTTGCAAGGCCCAGCCACATGAAGCTGCTGCAGGCATGCTATTGGCTGGGGCAGGCCCCAGTGTGGCTGGTTTCAAAGCTTGATGGCACACAACTGCTGTGGGTTTGCTAGTGAGTGGGTCAGGCACCCAGTGTGGCTGGTTGCAGGGGCAGCAGCACATGACTTCTGCTAGCTCACTGGTGGGCAGGGCAAGCCCCCAGTGCGGCTGGCTGTGCATTCCAGCAGTGCACAAGTGCCTCAGGCACATTGGTGAGTGGGGAAGACGCCCAAGAAGGTGGCATGTGACCGTTTCAGTTGCACTGGTGGGCAGGGCAGGTCCCCTGTGTGACTGGTTGTGAAGCCTGGCAGTGCGAGACTGCTGTAGGCTCACTGGGGGCTGCCTGTGCTGCCCGGCTACACACAACTGTCTGGGTGCACTAGTGGGTGGGGCAGGCTCCTGCACTAAGAGGCAAGAGGGAGAATTCTAAAATGGCAACTGCCAGTGTTGGCATCAGTGTGGCTGAACTACGTCACAAAAATGGCAGCTGCTAGTCCCTAGACGAGGGTCCAAGACACCTCTTGCTTCTCCAGGAGGTGCTCCAAGCTTAACAAGTGAGTCTCTTTTACCAATGGACTATGCACTTTTCTATCTGGTGTTTTTGTGCTGGTTTCCGGATTGAGTGAGGCTGTGCACGGGCCCTTTAAGAGCAAGTTTGCTTTTCCTAAAGTTCTATAATTTTCCTGGGTGTATTTCCTATTGGTTTTCAAAGCCAGGTGTTTTGGGGTCTCCTCTCTTCTGTGCTGAACTCAGGGCTGGGGTGCCTAATGAAGAGCTGGAATCCCCAAAGCTCCGTACCTCTGAGATGGCTCGACTGTGATCACCGGGGCTAGGTGTGGGTTTTCTCAGCAAGACTGTATCTCTGCCTCTTCCACCCCTGCGGTGTTCCTTGTTGTGGAGGTCCTTTTCATCCTCTTTCCAGACCTCCCTCAGAGGACATTATTCCACATATAATTGTAGATTTGTTGCATCCATGGGAGGAGGCAAGCTTAGGATCCTCCTCTGTCACCAGCTTCCAAACTCCTCAAGAAGCAGTTCTTAAGAAGCACGAGAACACTCTTCCATGCTATACGCCAGGCCCAGCACAAAGGGAGCAGGCACAACATCTACCTCCCAGTTTCTCCCTGGAAGGGGTTTAACGACATACTCTCCCAGCTGCTGCCTGAGGGTCCAGCTTCTAATCAGACTGCATCGGCGCTGACCATGATCCTGACCTTTGGGACACAGACAGCTCTTAACACACCCTCAACTCCTGGTAGCCACTAAGAACAAGGAAGGTTGCTTGGACAATCATAAAAGTTTGAGAGACAACTAGGAGCTCAGGCTGGGCTGAATGACAAGGTTCATCTCCTACACGGGACAACTCTGTAAGACTGGGAGAGGTTGCTATTTTATCTAGTGCACAGAAATCGACACAGAGAATCAAGGAAAATGAAGAAAAAGAGGAATAAGTTCCAAACAAATAAACAAGATGAATCTCCACAAAGAGATCTTAACTAAATAGAGATAAGTGATTTACCTGATAGAAAGGCATAAACATGGGGGGGGGGGGGTAAGCGCCTTGACATCAGTCTTGGCAATCAATGATTTTTTGGATTTGACACCAAAAGTAAAGGCAACAAAAGCAAAAATAAACAAGTGGGACTACACCAAACTAAAAAGCTTCTGCACAGCAAAATAAACCATCAACAAAATGAAAAGGCAACTTATGGAATGGGAAAAATATTTTCAAATCATATATCTGATAAGGGGTTAGTATCCAAAATATACAAGGAACTCATACAACTCAATAGCAAAAAAAAAAAAAAACCGTAATTAAAAAATGGGCAAAGGACCTGAATAGATATTTTTCCAGGGAAGACAGACAAATGGCCAACAGGTATGTGTAAAGATGCACAATATCACTCATCATCAGGGAAATGCAAACCAAACCCACAATGAGATATCCCCTCACACCTGTTAGAATGGCTTTATCAAAAAGACAAGAGATAACAAATGCTGGTAAGGATGTGGAGAAAAGGAAACCCTTGTGTACTATTGGTGTGAATGTAAACTGGTACAGACAGTATGGAAAATAGTACGGAGGTTCCTCAAGAAATTAAAAGTAGAACTACCATATGATCCAGCTATTCCCAATTCTGGAAATATATCCAAAGTAAATGAAACCATTATCTTGAAGAGATATCTATAGTCCCATGTTCATTGCAGCATTATTTACAATAGCCAAGACATGGAAACAACCTAAGTGTCCATCAATGGATGAACGGATCAAGAAAATATGAAAGCCATATATATAGTGGGATATTATTCAGCCCTTAAGAAGAGGGAAATCCTGCCATTTATGACAACCTGTATGAACCTGGGGGGCATTATGCTAAGTGAAATAAGCCAGACAGAGAAAGACAAATACTGCATGTATCACTTATATGTGGAATCTAATAAAAACACAAACCAACACATAGAAACAGGGTAGAAAAGTGGTTGCCAGGGGCTAGTGGTGAGGGAAATAGGGAAAGTTTGGTCAAAGGGTACAAACTTTCAGTTATAAGATGAATAAGGTCTGAGGATCTAACATATAACGTGCTGAGTATAGTTGATAACACTGTATTGTATAAATGAAATTTGCAGCAGAGTACAACTTAAACATTCTTACCAAAAAAAATAAAATAAAGGGAAATATCTGAGATAATGGATTGTTCTCTCAAAGTGGGGAATCCTTTCACGATGTAAACATCTATCAAATCATCACTTTGTACATTTTAAATATATTCCAATTTTATTTGTCCATTACACCTCAATAAAGCTGAAAGAAAATAGACAGTCCTCCTTGCAAGGGAGCAGAAAGTGGGTGTGAGGGATCCTGAACGCCAAGACACGTCAGAGTGGCAGCGGCCAGGAAATACTACAGGAGTGAAAGCACTTCCTTTGCCACATTTGCATCTCCATTCTAATCTCTTTCATATTTCCTATTAATCTGAATCAGTTAAGAACCTAAAATTTTTGTAGTGCTGCGGATGTTCATTCTGAAACAACCAAACATCTCTGGAGTATTTACAGGTAACACGACAGGACAAGGGAGGGGGCAGCAGCTCCCGTTTATTACGTCAACTCTACTTAAGAAAACAAAGATGCCTCAATGTTGGCTGGTCAGCATTCAGTTACGACTGGAGTTGAACAGTAACTTTTCACAGGATTCTATTTCCTTGCTTTGTGCTGGATCATTTATCACTCCAATAACATGAAACACAATTCATGCCTATAACACTGAGTTAGGAATGATCGCAGGCTATTCTCGTCCGTTTTTATGAACACACAGATCGACTGTTCTCCACGGCTCCAGAAAACCAACGAAGCTGAAAGAATGCCATTGACCAAGTGTTACAAAAAAAGGTTCTTCAAATAAGAGTGCCAGATTTTATTTTGCACACATTTTTGATAATCCAAATTTTCAAACAGTTTGGAAGAGCTGGAATCGTTAATGCTTTAAGAAAATACTGCAATTTGAGAATGACATTGATTCATATTTCCCCACTAAGGGAATCTTTCGAGTTCTTCATCGCTCAGAATCACCAAGGCCCTCTTGTAACGCCATCCCTGAGTAATCAGCCTATGTTTTGTTGTCTGGGGCTTGAGGGGGTAGAGGACAGTGTTCTGTGAAAAAGATAGAATGTTCAGGAAAAGTAATCACTGGGGATTTCACAGGTTTAGGCAAATGCATATTATGCTCACAATGGGGAATTGTATAAGACTTACATTTATGAGCCTTCAGTCCTTCAAAGGAAACTGGTCCGATCTCATAATACTCATATTCCCAGGTGTAATCAGAATTAGATGCGGATTGCTGGGACGTTCTGTTAGAAATTAACCTCTGGGCAGACATCTCCACCCTGCACAAACGGAGAAAGGCAAGTGCAGAACCGTTAATTCATCCAGGATGGCACAGGGACTCTCATTGCTCTTGACCACATTCAGGAGTCGAGCAGGCAAAGTCCTCAGGGAGGTCTTATCAACCAAGTCAGGGAGGGGCCCTCACTGGCTGTCTGCACTTCCTACCATGTGGCCATTATTTCCTTTTCTCTCTCCACTAGACTAGAATGTATTTGAAATCAGACACCATGTCTTCTTTTCCTGTTGTCCCCAGAACTTAACCCAGTGCCTACCACATAATCAACTTTCAATAACTGATGGAAGAAGGAAGGGAGACAACACATCACAAAGCCTGAGCTTACAACTTCAGCCTCACCACCAATAACTGCATGAGTATGTAAGGAGCCTAGAGAGAATAAATAAAATCAGTGTCAGAAGTGAACTAGCTCAGTATCTACCTATTGAGCACCTACAATGCAACAATAAAGACATGCAACCTTAGTCTAATGAAATGGGGTGGAAAAAAGAGAAATGAGCAACAAAAATCATATAATACGAGAAGATCCTCAATGGAAGTCCAAATCTTGCCCAGTTTGCTCCTGAAATTTGTCCTATTTTCAGGATGTCTCAAGTATATTCTTTGTGATGATTTTAGATTAAAAAACTCTGACTTCTGGGGCCAGCCTGGTGACATACTGGTTAAGTTCACACGCTCCGCTTTGGCGGTCCAAGTTTTGCAGGTTCAGATCCCAGGCGTGGACCTAGCACTGCTCGTCAAGCCACGCTGTGGCGGCATCTTACATAAAATGGAGGAAGATTGGCACAGATATCAGCTCAGCAACAATCTTCCTCAAGCAAAAAAAAGAGGAAGACTGGCAACAGATGTAGGTCAGAGCCAATCTTCCTCACACAAACACACACACACAACTCTGGCTTCTTTGAGAGAAGAGGTTGCACTGAGCAGCATGGATGCAAAAGGTGACAAGTCAATAGAGCCAGTATTCAACACTGAGCATCTACTGTATGCGAGACACTGTACATTGTGGGACAAAGGAGCTGCTTGAGAGACAGCCCCAGACCTTCCCTTACAATGGAGAAAGAATACAAATTGACAAATAACAGTAATATACGGGGAAACTTCAAAGAAATACCAACCAAAACCAAGAATCACTGAGCAGTCACCACCACTGGGTCCCACCTGCCAAGAGCTTTCTGAAGTTCCCCCTCTCCCACTCCCCCACAGGTTAGTATCACTCAGCACACAGAGCACAACCCCCAGGGAAACTGAGGCAAAAATCACTACCACCCCCTCTGCCCCAAAGCATGAGTCTCACCTTTCCCTCTTCCCTTCTCCCCCACCCCCAGCCCTGGACCCCGCAGAAACAGATCCAAACCCTTTCGCATCATGTTGTTTAAAAGATGGTGTGCTCTGATCCAGAGATGCATGCCAGTATCAGAACTGGACTGTGACTCTGAGTGCCCCGCCAGACCAAGCATTCCTCCAAATGAAAGCAACAGTTCTCACATGGGAAAGAAAGCTACACAAATTTTAAGGAAAGCTGACCTTTAAGTAAGTTTTCAGCTACCGTTCTAACACCAGCACTAAAATAACATAAAACCATTACCATGGTATCACCTTTGGCGTTTCTAGTGTTTGAACAAGAGATTATTTCCTCAAGAGATTATTTCCTTCAATGATGAAATAAATTTCCTCAGGAAATGAAAATTAACAACGCCAACCCAAGAAGCACTATCCTCACTCATGAGCCCTTCTCCAGAAGAAAAGAATTGTGTGGGAGAGAAGTAGCTCTTCCGTTAGAGGGTTTAGAGATAATGGTAGATTAGGATAAACGTAGGTTCTGTTTGAGAATGGTAAGAATTTCACACCATGCAGGAAGAAAAGGCGCTGGATCTGAAGTTGGAAGACCAGGGTCTTCGCCTTTGCTCTGCCTCCAGTTGCTATGTGGCCAGGCAAGACACTCATCTCTCCAGCCACACTTTCCTCATCTGCAGCAGTGATCATCCTGACTGGCTGAGGATGTTGCTATCAGGAAACAATTCTGGCTATGGTCACTAGTAGCCACCATCATTACCCACTTGGCCCACTTCTCCAGCCTCCTACCTGGTTTTTCTGCTTCTACTCTTATTAACCTATTGTGATCCATCCTCCACACATCGGCCAACGATCTTTTTAAAAGACAAATTGCCCTTGTTACTCCTTTGCTTAATACTTTTAGGTTTCCCATTACTCTAAGGACAAAGTCCAAAATCCTTAACATGTCCTACAAGGTCGTGACTTGGGCCGTGCTCTTTCCTCTTCTCTGCCTCGTACCCCATCTACGGGCACTTGCATTTCTTGCAGTTCCTCAAATACTTAATGCTCTCTGTGACCTGCACACGTGCTGGTCACCCCCCAGGAGTGTTCCTCCCAACAACCCCACCCTCACCCACTCCTCTTTCCCTGCCTTCTCCCGTCATCTACAGCGGAGTTGGCAAATCCGGCCCACCGCCTGTTTTTGAACACCCTGCAAGTGAAGAATGTTTTTACATTTTTTAATAGTTGAAAACAATCAAAAGGATGGTATTTCATATGACATGAGGAAATTATATGAAATTCCAGTATCAGAGTCCATAAATAAAGTCTTATTGGAACACAGCCACCCTTGTTTGTTTTGTATTTTTATGGCTTCTCTGGTGTTAGAACAACAAAGCTGAGCAGCTGCAACAGAGATAGTACGGTCCAAAAAGCATAAAATATTTACTTTCTGTTATTTTACAGAAAGTTTGCCAACACCTCCAGAGCTATGGGAAAAAAATGATCTAAATGAAGATGATAACAGTACTTATTTTCACGGAGTTGCTGTAAGGATTAAATGTGATGTTGCATGAAATGTGAGGAGCCAGGACCCAGGTTAAGATCAGTAACCAGCAGCCAGCACTACTATTACAAGCTAAGAAATCTGAGTCTGGGATAGAAAAGCCCAGGCTTGTTCTTCAGACATCACCAACTCCCCTAACAGCCAATTCCTATCAAATTCACCATGTGGTTCATTGATCTACGTGCTCTAGACAAATGACTAAAATAACAATAAAAAAATAACTCAAAAGACATTTGTTTAGATGGTTTAAAAATTATAATAAGAAACACATATATCGTGGGACTCAAGCTGCTCCATCAAGTGATAAATATGGCAATAATCTCTCTTTTTTTAAGGAAAATAAGATAAAGTCTGATTAGATCCTATTATTTTTATCGGAAATCAGCATTACAACCAATGTAATAAGCAGAGCAGAGAGAGGCTCTAGGCTTCATCTTGCACCAAAATGGATAACAGAAAAACAGCACAAGTACATAAAACAATGAAGAAGATAAAGATGGGAGAGTGTTTTGCATTCTCTGCCTGAGCAGCACTCCCACAGCTATGCTGTGCCCCATGTCGGCATGCAGTGGTGACCCCTGTCTGTGGCTGCCCAGGCCCACAGGACTGCAGGTCTTCTCGCTACTCTCTCAGGCCAGAAAGAAGCATTCCCACCACCCTCACTGGCCCGGCCAGGAACAGCAAATAAAATCTATCTGTAAAGGAGTTAGGTATGAAGAAATATCAACCCCTCACTTACCATAGAGAATGTTTTTTCATTCCTTCTTTTTCGCTCCCTTACACTATTTCTGTTCATCTATATGAACTATTTGGAGACGGATGGAGACCAAAAGGGAATGAAAGTCATGCATGCACAGCTCCTGACAGTGGAAAGACCATCCTTTAGGAGAAGAGGAAAGCCCTGAGAAACACCTGGAGACAAGAGTGAGTGATAACAGAGCCAGCCTAGCCGAGGTTCTCCGGGGAAGCAGAATGAAATGCTGGACGGCCTCTCCCGGAGCAGAAACCATCTTAGCAGCCTGCAATAAAAGGCTTCTGTTTTCACTGGCTATCTCCTCTCACCTCTTGAATCCGAAAGATAGGTCTGGAGGACAGAACCTCTGGCCTCTCCTTTCAAGCAGTCACCTAGCACCCTTGGAAAACTCCATGAGGCCATATTTTTTCCTCCAAGTTTCAAATTAATCAGCTTGGGCCATCAAATGCACAAGGACCAAGAACAACCAAAAGGCTGTAGAAAGCATTTTGTATAACACCCATAATTGAAGCCCAGGGTTGCCTTTCTGAGCTTTGCAGAAGCAGAGCTGGCACCGTTTCGCCATTTAGAAACTGCCAGCATGTCTGGGTGGCAGCCCCCAGAGTCTGATATTCTCACCACAGCGAGGAATGTCTGGGCCATAACACACAGGGAGGGAGAGCCAGTCTGGCACCAGGGCTTCCTCATAGTGGGGGTGAGGAGGGCTGCGGAAAAGCAGGCAGCTGCTCGCTCCTGAGCACAGCAGACAGGAAATGCAGAGCTGGGGGAACAGCTGCCTTCTGCGCCTCCGCTGCTCCTGAGCATCTCTGGGGAGATTTTCTCAATGTCGGATTTCTTCATAATGTTAGCATCATTAAAAATAACTTGTTCCAGAGGAAATATATCCTAAACAAGCTTCCTGGAACAGCGCAGAGAGACTAATTGCTCTTTTGAGCAGTTGAAAGCACCCTTGCCAACAAAAAAGAGAATGAAAAACTATGCCTACACCTCAAAGCCACACGCGGAAAGGCAGCTTATCTTTTCCAGGTGTACATGAGGCAGGTTAAGCCAGCTTACGAGGCTAGGGGTGGGAGGGAAGACCTCAACCCCAAATAGAGAAAGCGTGATTAGCTGGCCCCAGACACTGTCACGTCTGCCTAAACATCACCCCTTCTCCCATCCATGTTCCCAACACTTTCATCCTTTCTGCTGGCTGTTCAATCCTCCTCCAACCCAGCTTCCCACGCACTCCTGGGAACCCTCTTTCCTTCTTAAAGACAAGTCAAGAATTCTCTCCACCTCCTGGAATTTGGGGAGCTGTACGGGACATGGAACCTTCTGTGCAGTGAATAAAGGCTCTCCATCAATATCCTCGGTGGGTTATGATGGGTACACATTCCAAGGGGGC